TGACTCATAAAATTCAATCTGATCCACTGAAATTGCCTGTTACTAAACTCGCTGCGAAATTTCTTCCAATTTTTCTCCTGTATCAACGACCTTATCACCCACAAACTCAATTGAAAATGGATTTAGAATTCTTTAGTACCTCTAAGTAGTTGATTGGATGCCCTTCACACAAAATCGTATCATAGGAACTCTCGCGTGTTGGAAATCACCTTTGTTTATTAAGTCACAGCCTCTACTTTCGTTTCTACAGCTACTGTCAACAAACTGGCGGAGGAATCCAATCGGACATGATGTTTAATTGATGGGTTAAAGTTACATAGTCTCAACCCTAGTCTAATGCATAAAGTGACGCTGTTTTTTTTTTTCACAATTTGAGGCAGTAGTTTACGGGATCTGATAGAGGAATGTTGAGTGGACCTGATGATCCAAGAGTGGAAGAAAGACCTGATGATCCAAGAGTGGAAGAAAGACCTGATGATCCAAGAGTGGAAGAAAGACCAGATGACACAAGAGTGGAAGAAAGACCTGATGATCCAAGAGTGGAAGAAAGACCTGATGATCCAAGAGTGGAAGAAAGACCTCATGATCCAAGAGTGGAAGGAAGACTTGATGATCCAAGAGTGGAAGAAAGACCTGATGATCCAAGAGTGGAAGAAAGACTTGATGATCCAAGAGTGGAAGAAAGACCTGATGTTCCAAGAGTGGAAGAAAGACCAAGTGATCAAAATATGGGAGACAAGAACGATTGGATAAAACCAAGGGGAATAACCGAGTAAAACTTCTGCACCAAATGATACCAAGGGATAGTACTCTTATTTTATAGTCATTCGTCAGCAGCTTGAGTTTCTATTTTACAACCATTTGTCCTGGAATCAGGTATTTATTGAATAAGAGAAAAGGGATTGGGTGTGAAAGATTGAGTTGAACATGGAAAATAAATGATTTAATTAGAAAACAGAAAATACGAAATACAGCTTAAATAATTAACAATCAACACACAACATTAGAACCACTGTACACAGAAAGTTGACAACACACAACATTAGAACCACTCTACACAGAAAATTGACAACACACAACATTAGAACCACTGTACACAGAAAGTTGACAACACACAACATTAGAACCACTCTACACAGAAAATTGACAACACACAACATTAGAACCACTCTACACAGAAAGTTGACAACGCACAACATTAGAACCACTCTACACAGAAAATTGACAACACACAACATTAGAACCACTCTACACAGAAAGTTGACAACGCACAACATTAGAACCACTCTACACAGAAAATTGACAACACACAACATTAGAACCACTCTACACAGAAAGTTGACAACGCACAACATTAGAACCACTGTACCAAGAAAGTTGCCACAGGTCCTCAGTTTTTGAGAACCGCTAGGGTACGCGGTCATTGCCAACAAATCAAAGTGTTGTGGGATACGAGGCAGCACACATCAACAGACAAGAGCTGATCACGACATTTCAACTACAAGGAAATCGCATTTGTGATTGGATGAAGCCGTCTTACACCACGCCTGTCAGGATTGTAGGGTGAGGGTGGGGTGGTCGGTAATTGCAGGGGGTGCCCGGGGGTGGGGTGTCCAGTTGCAGCTGTTACGGGCTACAGAGCGTTACTTGAGTATCAGGAGCTAGAGACTTTCTCCAAGCTGGATAACCGTTTTAAAGATGAAATGTCAAACGTTAGGTCATATTTCACGTGTCAAAATTGAGTTGCTCTATTTTGTCTACTCTCTAGATCCGGTTTGTGTTTTAAGCACGTTTGTATCGTGTCCTACACCACAGGTTGCAAGCATGCGATGGTTGCATGCAGTGGCCTGTCTCGGTATGTTGACGTCAGTCGTCACAGTTTGGGGTCCCTTGTTTGAAGGGGGGCTGGTGTCTGCTGGTGTTTACACGGCACGCTAAAGTTACACGACACGCTAGTGTTTACACAGCACGCTAGTGTTTACACAGCACGCTAGTGTTTACATGGCACGCTAGTGTTTACACGGCAAGCTAGTGTTTACACAGCACGCTAGTGTTTACACGGCACGCTAGTGTTTACATGGCACGCTAGTGTTTACACGGCACGCTAGTGTTTACACGGCACGCTAGTGTTTACATGGCACGCTAGCGTCTACACGGAACACTAGTGTTTACACGGTAGGATGGTGTTTACACGGTACGCTAGTGTTTACACGACACGCTAGTGTTTACATGGCACGCTAGTGTTTACACGGCACGATTGTGTTTACACGGTAGGATGGTGTTTACACGACACGCTAGTGTTTACACAGCACGCTAGTGTTTACACAGCACGCTAGTGTTTACACAGCACGCTAGTGTTTACATGGCACGCTAGTGTTTACACGGCAAGCTAGTGTTTACACAGCACGCTAGTGTTTACATGGCACGCTAGTGTTTACACGGCAAGCTAGTGTTTACACGGCACGCTAGTGTTTACACGGCACGCTAGTGTTTACATGGTACTCTAGCGTCTACACGGAACACTAGTGTTTACACGGTACGCTAGTGTTTACACGGTAGGATGGTGTTTACACGGTACGCTAGTGTTTACACTGCTTGTTTTTGTTTACACAGTATGTTCGTGTGTAAAGACTTTTATTAAAATAGCTTTATAAAATCGTATTTACATTCTAAGCTTGTCTTTACTTACATTCTATACCGTATGATTGTTTTGTATAAAATACTTATGCTTACATGTGTGTTAACTCTGCAGGCTTGTGTTGGAATGTGTGTCTACACGGCATGCCTTCATAAAGTCACATCTTTCTCCATAAGGTCACATCTAACTTTATCTTGAGAAAGTCACATATCTCTTTACCTTTCACCCCCACACAATTTTGATCAGGTCTCCGCCTATGATGCTGACACAAATGAGATTTTTCCATAAACATGGCGGCTACTATATTTTTAGAATTCAGTTCAGTTTGTCGAGCACCAATGGGACTAACGAGTAAAGAAAAATATAGTCAATTGTGCCATTTCTACAGAATAAAGAAAAATGTTTATTGAAAGGTCAAATAGGGTTGAAAGCTGCATAGTAAACAGAAAATTTAAAAAACTACATTCCTGAAAATAAAATTTGGTTGTGGTAGTCGTCTCCCCTGAGAAATTTGCCCCAAGTCTGGCTGGGTTAGGGGACTTGGCTAACGTGGCGGGAGGAGTCCCCGCAGACGTCAAGTAATGACAAGAACGATCCGATGGCGGGGAGGCGCGGGGACAATAAAAGAGCGGGGTCTCTGTAGTTAATAGTATCAGAGCCACTCGCCGCTATTCGCCCGCCCGGCCGGCCGATGGACAGCCCAGCGCTGGCCAGCCGATGGTTTGATCCGTGGTACAAAGTTTAAGTGGGTTTGTGAGTCCCTTGGTTTCTACAATCACAAGATGGCTTCTAGTGGAAGACGAAAAGTGGAATGAGTTCAAGCCGGTAAATCTTGACGTAGGCCTGCACACACCGCTAAAGCTAGAAACCACGGACATCGCTAATCAGCAGTTATGTTGTTTCTTTTCTTTTCAACTTTTGGGGTTTACGGCTAGGTGGTACATGCCGTATCCAGGGTTTTTTTCTGCTGGTGGTTCCGTGTCGTATCCATGGTTTTGTTGCTGTGGGTACCGTGTCGCATCAAGGGTTTGCTGCTAGTGGTTCCGTGTCGTATCCAGGGTTTTGTTCCTGGTGGTACCGTGTCGTATCCAGGGTTTTGTTCCTGGTGGTACCGTGTCGTATCCAGGGTTTTGTTCCTGGTGGTACCGTGTCGTATCCAGGGTTTTGTTCCTGGTGGTACCGTGTCGTATCCAGGGTTTTGTTCCTGGTGGTACCGTGTCGTATCCAGGGTTTTGTTGCTAGTACTGCAGTCACTGTTAGAAGTATCAGGAGATCTGATTTTGTTGTACAATTTGTAACGACACTGTAGAGATGTCTTGTCCAGTAGACCAATGCCATTAACTCTTGGACAATTAACAAAGATCCCGTCTAAACCACTCAGGGTTTAAACTTACAACTACTATCATTCCCCCATTGTAACTACAATGTCCGACAAAGGGGATTAACTAAATTAATTAACTTTGATGACGATGTACTCACAATTAATCTTTAAACTAAATAGTTACGACCAGAATATTTTAGTCTTAGAAGCCACGTACATGTTAGTGAGAAATCTCAAGTAGATCCTTACTCCATTAGCAAATAAACAACAAAACATTAATCAGCTTGCTATTTACTGATCGAAGTTCAGTTCAATAATCAATCATCGTATACTTTTATCAATGTTTTTTTATTTAGATACCAGATCAATAAATCACATGTACTGAAACTTAATGAACTAAAACCACATGTACTGTCACTTTAATGAACTAAAACCACATGTACCGTCACTTTAATGAACTCAAATCACATGTGCTGTCACTTAATAACAAAAACCACATTTACTGTCGCATTAATGAACTCAAACCATATGTACTGTCACACTTAGTGAACTCAAATCACATGTGCTGTCACTTAATAACAAAAACCACATTTACTGTCGCATTAATGAACTCAAACCACATGTATTGTCACACTTAATGAACTCAAATCTAACATGACCCACACTACACACTACAGGGCATAAACGATAGCAGACTGCGCTTTAGAAACTCAAACACTTAACGTGACGAGTCGTCCAGTTGTTGGGGGTCGCCATTAAGGCGGGGGTCGTCAAATGGATGGGGGTCGTCAATATGGCGGGGGCGTCAATATGTCGGGGGTCGTCAAAAAACTAAAAACGTTGCCTGTAGCCTTTTACGTACACAAAATGTTTGTCAATAATAAAATCTGTCACCATATTTCCCTTTACTGGTGCAATCTAAAGGCAAGGGAGGTAACCATTAAAATATTTTCTTTTAAAATGTTATCTCCCTTTTAAAATGATTACATATTATTATTGTCTTCAGAAAGCCTTTGCTTTGCATACGCTGATTTCCGCATCTTGAATATAAATCACTGGTCCATCACTATCACGTTGTGAGCAATACATTGGACTAGAAAAGTTAACCTCCACGTCTATAGTTTCATTATTCTCCGCTTTGTGTGAACACAAGTACGATGCAGTAATTGTCTCACAATGTGTCTAGGACTTGAATATGCTACATCTAATAGAGTTTGAAACCAAATCACACGATAGGGAAACACATAGCCTACATTAGACCACCAACACATTTCATTGTGGAAAATAATTTTTCGAAGTCCTTATTAATAAAAGTAACATTATTTATTAATTGAAGATAAGTTCAAACTTATAGTATGTGAAATATGTAAATATAAAAATCAGATACACATAGATTATTGTTAGAATAAATCGCAAAACAAATAATTTGCTACACATAATCATCGAAATTTGAACCTAATCAAAACAGGCACAGAGTTAAAGTATAGAAAATAGAGATAGAAATGTGGCTGTCAAAAATATTTACATTTAGAATGAATGTGTAAACAGAAATACGTTGAAAGACATGGGACTATGTCATGTAAATAACAGGTAAGTAACAGTATAAAAAAAGTAATGAATATACTGTGGTCAATACAATCATACAATTTTCATATGTATAGATAGTTTAGATTTAAAAACATGCGTATTTGATCTCATTATTTCTGCACTATAGATATGGAGACGTTTTCATTAGTGATCTCACCCTTGACCTCTGCAACCAGCTCAGCACACATGAGGGCGCTGGAGAAATGCACGTGACTCAGTCGTCTGCACTTGGTGAAGAAATTGACCAGGGCGTCTTTCCTGGGCGGGGAGTAGACGTTGCTGACCCCAGCCACGAAGCTAGCAGACTCCAGCGTGCCGCTGAAGTGGCGGGCCAAGTGGTCCAGGTACAGACTCAGCTTCTCTCCGAACTTCATGCAAGAGTGGCAGCACTGGCCGCCAAAAACTGACAGCTTCGTCAAGGGAATGCCGGGAACGAGCAGCGTTGTTAGGTCACGTGGCCAGCCCTCCAACTCCACGATGACCTTGAGTTTGGGTATGACCCTGAGCGCGAGCCGCCAGTTGTCTGAGGTGATGATGAGCCAGGGGCTGGAGAAATCAAAGGCCGACATGTGCACGGTGAGCACTTGCAGGCAGTCGAACAGGAGCTCACACACATCCACCACCTTGGCGGCCAGAAGGTACGAGTAGTTGAGAGACAGCTCAGACAGGTTCCAGCACTTTCTGCACAAGTTCCGTATCTGCTTGCCGGCCGTGTACGTCGTCATCTCGTAGAAATAAAAGTTGATCAAATTCAAACGCTCCAACCTTCTCGCTGATCGGCTGTTGGTCAGAGATTTGATGATACGGTACGAGAAGGGCGGGGTCATGTAAGCCTCGGAAATGTCCACATTCTCCAGCGCCCTCTGGGTCTCCAGGAAAACGGACAAGCTGTCCACGAGCAGACATTTAGATGACCGGAAGCTGCTCCACGTGTCGTTGAAGTAGAGGTTGTTGATGGTGAGCGAGCGGATCATTTCCTGCCCGTACTTCAGGCACGTGAGTTTGCTCAGCAGTGTGTGCACGCACTTGGCCACGTTGTTGGCCGTCAGGAGGTTGGGTGAAGGACACACGATGCGGATCTCCTGGAGGTATTTACCCATCGTGTCCGCATAGATGCCCAGCATCTCAAGGATGGAAAAAGTTTTTTTTATATAGCGAATGCAGCATTAGAAAATGTTTACGACACAATACAATTTATCATTGCAAATATGAATATATTAAATATTAATATCGTTTTAACATATATTTTTGGAACGGTTAATTAAAATTGTATTGTAAGGTCAAGAAGAGGAGCATTTGTACAAAGTGTTAACTCGTCATTGTTCCAAAAATCTTCATTAGATACACGTCTACATGAAGATTGTTGCCGCTGTTATTGTTTTTTTTTTTACATAGAAACACATGCAGACAAAACCTTACCTCTAGTCGTTGAGGGTGTGACCTGCAATAGCCACGAAATTCAAAGGTCCGTGACCTCCATAGACACGGTTCATGATAAACTCGTCGCCATTTCCTACAGACTGTGGACGCCTTGCATAGATCCGAGTCCTGGGAAGTTTCAGAAGTCTCAAGTGGGTAGTCGGTATACAAGTAGTGTACAACCAGTGTATGTGCATGCGTGCATGGGTGTGTGTGAGTACGTGTGAGTGTGCAACTGCATGCGTGCATGGGTGTGTGTGAGTACGTGTGAGTGTGCATCTGCATGCGTGCATGGGTGTGTGTGTGAGTACGTGTGAGTGTATGTGTGCATGGGTGTGTGTGAGTACGTGTGAGTGTGCAACTGCATGCGTTCATGGGTGTGTGTGAGTACGTGTGAGTGTGCGTATGTGCATAGGTGTATGTGAGTACGTGTGAGTGTGAGTTCGTATGTGCATGCGTGCATGGGTATGTGTGAGTGTGTGAGAGTACGTGTGAGTTCGTATGTGAATGCGTGCATGGGTGTGTGTGAGTGTGTGTGTTGCCTGTTTACACACCACCATGAGGCAACTGAGAAACCAAACCACATTGGCGCACAAGTTAAGATACGGACAAAGTGGAACACAATGTATTTGGACATCCCAATTCAAGTTCCGGCTTATTCATTAGATACACTTATGATATAGGTAATAGTGATAGTTAGATGGGCCTTATATTCTAAGTAATAATAATAGTCAAATGGGCTTTACGATAAAAGTAATAGTGATAGGAGAGTGGTCCTGTAGTCAAACATCTCAAATGCTATATTAGTCCGCGGTAAACTTTAAAAACATCACGTGCTCCTGATTAGCATGTCTTGATAAATTCCTTTTAAAAATGCACGCAATACACCCTGACCCACCCCTCCTCCTTCGGCCAAACCTGCAGCTTCACATTCGAATAGTTTTAAGACGATTGTGAGGCATGTTGATAAGAACAAGCTATGTGTCTGTAAACGGAAGAGTCTGTCAACCGTGATCCCAATAAAACGCGACAATTGTTAGTCACAAGACCATATATGTAAGACATTTATCGATCTCAAATTCGATACAATTTCAATATTAGCAAGAAGGCTTCGATCACAAGGCCTATGATACAAGGCGTACCGCTATGAGATTATCAAGCGAAACAAAGAAAACCATGGTTTGATTCCGATGTTCGTTAGAATCGTGCCTTGCTAAATGACATCTAACTACAAGTTTGGCTACAACACAAACCATTCACAATGACATCTGCAGCAAGTTTCCCTAGAAACCAAACCTTGCACAATAACATCTAACTGTAAGTTTCACTAGAAACCAAACCTTGCACAATGACATCTAGCTGCAAGTTTGGCTAGAACACAAACCTTGCACAATGGCATCTGAGTTTGGCTACAACACAAAAAATTCACAATGACATCTAACTGCGTTTGGCTACAACACAAACCTTGCACAATGGCATCTAACTGAGTTTGGCTACAACACAAACCATTCACAATGACATCTAACTGAGTTTGGCTACAACACAAAAAATTCACAATGACATCTAACTGCGTTTGGCTACAACACAAACCTTGCACAATGGCATCTAACTGAGTTTGGCTACAACACAAACCATTCACAATGACATCTAACTGCGTTTGGCTACAACACAAACCATTCACAATGACATCTAACTGAGTTTGGCTACAACACAAACCATTCAAAATGACATCTAACTGAGTTTGGCTACAACACAAACCATTCACAATGACATCTAACTGAGTTTGGCTACAACACAAACCATTCACAATGACATCTAACTGCGTTTGGCTACAACACAAACCATTCACAATGACATCTAACTGAGTTTGGCTACAACACAAACCATTCACAATGACATCTAACTGCGTTTGGCTACAACACAAACCATTCACACTGACATCTAACTGCATTTGGCTACAACACAAACCATTCACAATGACATCTAACTGAGTTTGGCTACAACACAAACCATTCACAATGACATCTAACTGAGTTTGGCTACAACACAAACCATTCACACTGACATCTAACTGCGTTTGGCTACAACACAAACCATTCACAATGACATCTAACTGAGTTTGGCTACAACACAAACCATTCACAGTGACAATTAACTACAAGTTTGGAGAGAGGCCACCCTGATGTAGACATTTGGAATCATGGGGGAAGTAAATTATAAAGAAGTGCGTCAAATTGGCCAGACATTCAACCTATTGAGAACCCTCGTGTGTCAGATACCAGACCAGATCTGCTACAAGAAAATTAAGATCTAATTATTCATGATGACGTTCCTTTTGCTGACAGCCCGTGACAAATTAGGCAAATGTATCCGCGTGATGGGGTGTAGCCAATGGCAACGCTCACAGTGGTCGAGACGAATCATTTCCGCCACAAGATAACACGGCGGTGACGTAGTTGATTTATACACAGTTGTCTGTCCGCAAGGGTAATGACGTCATTATAATCCCGCAAGACGGTCCATAACGATCGTTAACCTCTGTGTTGTGTCCAATAAACCAAGCTAGGTTCAGTCATTTCAAGTTCATATATTGAGGGAATCAGTGATGTAGTGCAATCACTTGCAAACACCTGTCTGTAGTAAAGTCACGTCACCCGGTGAAGCTATTAATGACATTAAGTCAAGTCACAAAATTTTCAATTCGCCAAGTACAGCTTCAATTGTCACTTAGTCAAGTCACCAAGCTCAGCTTCAATTGTCACTAAGTCAATTCACCAAGCTCAGCTTCAATTGTCACTAAGTCAATTCACCAAGTACAGCTTCAATTGTTATTAAGTCAATTCACCATGTACAGCTTCAATTATCACTTAGTCAAGTAACCAAGTTCAGCTTCAATTGTTATTTAGTCAAGTCACCAAGTTCAGCTTCAATTGTTATTTAGTCAATTCACCATGTACAGCTTCAATTATCACTTAGTCAAGTAACCAAGTTCAGCTTCAATTGTTATTTAGTCAAGTCACCAAGTTCAGCTTCAATTGTTATTTAGTCAATTCACCAAGTTCAGCTTCAATTGTCACTTATTCAAGTCACCAAGTTCAGCTTCAATTGTCACTTAGTCAAGTCACCAAGTTCAGCTTCAATTGTTATTTAGTCAAGTCACCAAGTTCAGCTTCAATTGTTATTTAGTCAATTCACCATGTACAGCTTCAATTATCACTTAGTCAAGTCACCAAGTTCAGGTTTAATTGTCACTTAGTCAAGTCACCAAGTTCAGGTTTAATTGTCACTTAGTCAATTCACCAAGTTCAGCTTCAATTATCACTTAGACAAGTCACCAAGGAAGGCTTTGTATGTTACTGAGTCAAGTTCACCAAGTTCAGCTTTAAATGTCATTTTGTGAACAATGAACTCCCGACATATGTCAATAAAATACCTACATGAAGGAACTGAAATACCAGCAATAAAATCTCGTCAGGGAGATGTCCCCAAAACATCTTTTGTGCGTGTGTAGCAGGAAGACTGAGGTTATGGCCTTAGAAACAAAATGTGTGATTGGTTGCGATTTTCACCAGCAGTTTGTTCCGGTGTGCACGTGCGCAACGGAGTTTTTGCACACCATATTTGGACGTTAAAATAGACTTCTGCATTATTGGACAGTTTGAAATGAATACTACATTTTTGTATTGATGATCTAAACTTGAATACAGCGCATCTTTTATCAAATAAAATCCGGCTCACGCTACCAAACAGGAGCCCCATACACACACACACCTATCAGAGGCAAACAGCCATACACACATACTCACACAAATACTCCACGGCAGTTTACACATTTCAGTTGACGTGTTGTCATAGATCTTTGAGTTGACATGTTGTCATAAATCTTTGAGTTGACATGGGGGTCCGTAATTTTGTGACGATGTGTGATGAGTTCAGATGGTGTGACGTCACACTTTTGCATTATAAAAAAGCAATGTTAGAAAACGAATTTTAGCCGTTATTTCGCGTTTTAGATAACTGTTTTAATAAATTGTAATAGGAATTGATTAAAGTACTCTATTTTGACAGAGTTCAGACAAGATTTTTTAAAAATATCGATGTTTAAAAAAATTCAACTGCTTGAAGGGGCCCCGCGCTTCAGCACCGTCATTGTTATCTGAATTAGTTCGTAAACTTAAAAAAAATTGTTGCTGAATTCAATTGGGAAAAACTAAATGGTCGAATGCCGACGTTGTTGATTGTTATAACCGAGGCCACGGTTGATGTTGGTGAGTCCCACCTGAACTGGGACAGGCCGAAATTCGATACAAAAATAGTGTCACACCTCCCCTTTGTGTAGGGTACGGTCGCTTGGCATTTGACCTGAGCTGACTGGAGATGGCGGTCGAGAATTAGCCCACGACGTAAAGAGATACCCTATTGTATGCGGACCCATGAAGACGTCCTTTTAGTGAGCAGACGGGATGTCTGTAGTAGACAGTTAGTGACCTGATGAACTCTAGTCCTGAATTTCTTGTTGTAGATGTCGTATAATGTCGTATATGTAAAGTGTTTCTTCCAGACTTTTTTCTCCAGGGGGGAGGGGCACATGAAATTTTCGGGGGGGAGGGGGTAGATTTTTCGGGGGGGGGGGGGGGGCATGCCCCCCCGAAGAGATGCCTGGAAGAAACTCTATATGTAGGCTTACTTGTCTTGGTATAAAAAAGTTAACATTCAGTTGCGTGCAGAGGGGTGGGAGGAGGGCGACGAGGGGGGGGGGGGGCCTTAGGATCTATATCAGGCGCCATTAAACAGAGTGATTTATAATTATTTTTTGGAAGAAAGTTAAAACTGTTGTTATGTTGTGTCACATTAAGGATTCACCCGTTCAATAATTAAGACAATAATGTTTTTGGTTTTAAAATATTGTATGAATTCTAAACGAATTTTGAAATGTTGAAGTCTATACTGTTTTGATACATCAGGCCGAGTTCGCTGTATTGTAAACTTTATTTTCCTAATTATTCGGCACGTGATTAAATTTTCTTAAGTGATTTGGTATGAATTACATAACTGTCAAAAGTGATTTAATATCTTAGCAAAGGAAAAAAAACAACTACGAACATTGGGTTAATACATGGGAGAGATAAAAATCTGTTATTATAGTGGAAAGTTTGACATTAGCTTATAAACTCCAAAACATTTGTGTTATTATGTGTACATCACATTATATAGGCCTTTATACATACATACATATATATATATATATATATATATATATATATATATATATATATATATATATATATATATATATATATATATAATGGAAAGGCCCCGCGCGGATGGTTGGCCCTAGGCCCCGCGTATTCCTAACGCCGGCTCTGCTGTCTTGAGTCTGTTGGGCAGCTGCGACATGTTTCAGTAGAAAATAAAATTACTTTAAAGTTCTAACAATATTGTCAGTTATCAATATTTTTTTGTTATTAGTAGGCTACTAATTTTCTCAAAAGTGTATTCCTAGTACTTAAATTATAAGCCTTAATTTAATTCTACTCTAATACATGGTAATAGTCAAGTCTTACTGTTCATTGTAGGATTATAGTAAATTTATTTAGGACAAAGACACACAGAAATAAATTATTTGTTTTGATGAGTTATTAATTCAATTTTGGAAATTATTTGTAATCGAAAATTTATTTAACACTGCGCGTTTCTTGGGCTTTGTTTTAGGGATGCATCTATTCGGACCCGGGTCCCAATAGCCACGGCCGCTATTGGGACCCGGGTCCTAATAGCCTCGGCCGCTATTGGGACCAGCCAATAGAATTGTTTAGATTTAGTTATACAAAAATTCTTTTAAGATGCATAATATATCTTTTCTGTTGTGATTTTTTTCCTTGTAATTCTAAATGATATACTGAGATCTTGCTTTAAATACCCGATATCATTACTGAGAAATGTTATGATGAGCGGGTGTCGTTAGGTCTATAATAGAATTATGGCCTATGCCCTATGGTATGAACTTCTATGGCCGAGCGAATGTTGAGCGCGCATGTAAAAATGTGTTTGTTGCTGCGGACTACAGCTACCAGGGCCGTTTTCTTGAACACGAATAGATAAATACACTTACTTCACGCAAAAACTAGAGCTTTGATAAGTTCCGATCCCGTAACTGATCGAGATGCGGGAGATACTCGTTCTCCTCTCGACCACGACGTCTTACGATAAACACATATATTTAATGATTTTGTATATACAGCTAAATATAGGGTATTTAGAAATAGCAACACAAGAACTAACGCTAGATAATCCGCATAACTAATTACAATAAAAGACAACAAAATACGAGCAAATCCACAAGAAAAATCAAATAAACATAAAAGGTATAATTTTAATACAGGTTGAACTTAATGCCGGGTCCCAATAGCGGCCAAGGCTATTAGGACCCGGGTCCCAATAGCGGCCGAGGCTATTAGGACCCGGGTCCCAATAGCGGCCGAGGCTATTAGGACCCGGGTCCCAATAGCCACTTCCTTGTTTTAGTTTCAAATTTTGTACCATTTAATAGTGTTCTTAAAGCACAATATACCATGATATCAGATTAGAAAAGGGAAGCAACTAATGTTCGACTAAGCGCGCGAATCACAACAAATTTCTAGGACCTCACATAGACCTACGATCTAGAATCTAGATCTAACTTTATTTATTTTCTTGTAAATTAATACAACATGCAATATTAATATAATTCATTTATTTATAAGATTTCTCTCAATTTATGTTCATAGCCTAAATCATAGTAAATGAAAGTTCTAAACTGACCTAAACTAAGCACGGTAGGTGGTAACTCTGGTAAACTGGTAAAGGTAAAACTGAAAACACAGACATTTTAGCGTATTTTATTCTCCGCTTCACGTTCACCTCCAGTTAAGCATTATGTTCATAAATCAGTGACGTAGCTACCGTAAAGCTAGCGTAAGCAAGGCAAGGCGGTAATCTATCGTTTTGGGTACGTAAAATCGCCCGCGGCTATTAATGTACGAAAACGTTACCTCATTGTCAAGGCTTTAATAGGAGTATATTGTCATATGTTTGTGTCAAATATTATAGATAAATGAATAATAAACCTAAATCAATGGCTACATATATCGATATAGGCCAGAAATTAACTTTAAACAGCAGTGTCTGAGAGCAAGATTTGCTATATACTATATAAACAGCAGCCATTTGTAAAAGAGTGGCTTCCCCCTGATCTCACGCTAAAAGCTTATAAAAATAAAACTTAAACAAGATGGCTGCTATAGTAAATGAGCAAGATTGCATCTGTTGGAAACATCGCTAGTCTTCATTTATTACTGAAAAGTTTTAATTCAATTCTTTAAAAACAGGTAGATAAATGAAACAAGGAAACATTTTTGTATTTTAAAAAACATAAATCCTCCTCAAAATGTGAAATAATTATTAAAATTTAAGGAGTCACCTGGTTTTCACATTACAAGTCGCGGGCGATTTTACGTACCCAAAACGATAGATTACCGGCAAGGCATAGGGGCCCTTTTTGGAAAGTGTTTGAGGGTGGGGGGGGTGCAAATCGTCGCCGGGAAGTAGGCTTTTTGATGAGAATTACAGAATGATTTTTTTGGTAATCCCTTAGTTTAGCGTCGGAAATTATCGGGTAATGTTTGTTGAGTTTCGGTAATTAGAGTTACGGTAAACCATGGTTTATTTGACCATTGAAATAATAATAAATTGAAAGTCGATTGTAGTAAATTAAATTTAAATTAATGTTTTATTTTTTTAAGTTTAATCGACAAAAGGAAACAAGAATAAATATAATAGTAGATTTAAATTAGTAGATCTAAAAATAAAAACATATAGCCTATTAATATAAATATAAATAATGTATCAAATGTAATAATTTAATGTTTTTGGCTTGCAGCGGATTTGCGACCATTAATTAATTAGATCTAGATCTAGCTAGATATCTAGCTGCTAGGCCAAGTAAAAAAATCTAGATTACAAAAATAGTAAAAATGAATACAAAATGTAAAAATGATTACAAAAATAAATCTATCCAAATTTTAAACATTCTGTATAAAAATAAAAGAAGACGCCAAATAAAGTATGGTTTACGGTACTTCCGGTGAATTCCGGAAGTGTGTGACAGACTTTGGCATTGTTTTACTGTTTTTTACTGCTATACGATTCCGGAATAATAACCGACGCTAAACTAAGGGATTACCATTTTTTTTTTATTAAAAATGTATCAATAATAGCTAGAACACTAGTAAACTAAGCTAATTTAACATATTTTAACTTTCTGTGTAAAGTCATTATTACTGAAAAAAATTCCAAAGTCAGGTCAGTCTGTGGCAACCTCCAATGAACTTGACAGAAGGAAAAAAAAATTGACCCGTGATCTTCATTAAAACAGAATTTGCTTTTATCTTTTTTTTATTTTTAGTAAAAATGTGCTTAATCTTACCCAATAAGTGATAAAAATTTGAAAATGAATCCTAATTACTGCTGTAAAGTGAGATTAAGTTTAACAGCTTAATCAGGGATGTGACTTTTCCGAATTTTAGCGGAAATCCGATTTTTCCGTTTTAGTTGCGATTTTCCTCCGCTGATTTAATTTTCGCCGAATTTTTTCCGCCGTCTTTCAATTTTTGTCGATTTTTTACGAAATTTTAAAAAAATTAGGAAAAAAAACGGAAATGTCTTCTACGGAAAGGGCCAACATGCTCATTCCACTTATTCGTATTTAAATTTAAATTGACAACTACTGTACTATACTTAGGTCAAACGGACACTCGAATATGCGCATTTCTTTTCGATTGGTCGATTGCGCTAGGTCTGACAGTGCTAGATCAAGATTAAATGTAGATTAAGATTCGGAATTTCGGCGGACTTTCGAATTTTTCAAAGCACACTTTTTTTAGTCCAAATTTTCCGCTATATTCAGTTTACTATTTATCAACTACACGGGAAAAGGTAATCTAAAATAATGCAGTTATTCAAATGAAACTGACATCTCTTAAGCCTGGTTATCTAGCTATCGATATAGCCTAATTTACCTATCGGTATTTTAACCCGTCTAAATCTAGAGTTTCTCTCTGATTCTATTTTATTTCGCAATCTCAAATTTATATTGAAATCCTTGCAAAATGACTAGACTAACTCGCCCCACCCCGTAGCAACGGTGGCTCTTGTGACCTCACCTTGACCCCAAGTACTGCTTGTGGAAAAAAATGACGTCACAGTCAATTTCAAATGGCTGTTCCTGCAATACGTATGCTTCGTAGGCCTACAGATAAAAAAAACAACTAAACTCAACGTGACTACGACCGTGTCTTGTTTGTGGAAGAAAAAATATGTTCAGAGGTCTTCCATAAATAACGTCACACTCGTAAGATAGTGTAACGTCATTTTTTTGTATTTTAAAAAAGTAACGTTAGAAACAACTGCATTTTAGACGCTATTAAAAAACTGTTGTAAAGCATTGTAATAGAGATTGAATAAAATACCCTTTGTTGGTCGACCTCAGACAATATTTTAGAAAAAAATCGATGTTTAAAAAAAAAAAATCAAATTAATTTCGAGGGGGGGAGCATTTGATGACTGAGATGTGACGTCATTATAGGGGGGGGGGAGTCTGGCTTTTGTAGGAGAGAGGGGAGGTAAATATCGTCAAAAAAAACGTGGATGACCCCTAACAATTTACATTTATTCCAAAAAACATAAATATCGATATGGCTTGGCTATCAAAATGATTAACTTTGGTTCACACGTCAGACCCTTTCTAATTTTAGCTGGTCCATTTCATTTTTTCATCACATGAACCTAAAACTTTCAAATTATAACTAATCTTAATCTAGGCTCTTTACAGTTGAAAACACATATTTTTACCAATCCAATCTTTAAAAGAATATAAGGCATTAGGCCCCCTATTTAAAATTGAAAACAGGAGTACATCTAGAATGTACACTGGATTAGTACAGTTTAAATTAGCTTAATGGTAAAATAAAACTTAATTGCTACTTTTTTTCCATTGTAATTTTTAAAAAGTTGTTTATAAGGTAAACATTAAATTGCAATTAGACAAGACTTTCAATGTTAAATATTTTAGAGTAACATAAACTTCTTGTATTAAAAATATTAACTTCATTAAACAATTAATTAGTACAGTAACAGTATGAAGCTGCTTAACTGCGATAAAAAGTAGATAAAACATATTGAGTTATTATCCGAAGAAAATTTCCTAATTTTTTTCCTGATCTGGTCACATCCCTGCTTAATAAACACATGTTTTCTTGAGGGGGTGTGGCACATCGCAATTATAACTTAATGTTTCTGTGTTTTATGACTATATTAGTATATTTGTACACAATCAGGATGCTATGCTTTTAAAATTGATAAATGGTAAGTATACCAAGTTACAAAACCTGCAATCTAACTAATAATCCATACTTTCAGTTATAAAAACGATCATCAATGAAGAAAGCGTAAACATTCTATTTTTAGGTGTGACATAAAAAAAAAAGTCATAAATCTAGCCAAATGATTGGATTCTTGCGCAGCACACATTTTCCCGCGCCTCGTTTTCACTAAGCAAGATTATAATAAAATGGCATTATTGGGGGGTGATCGTTTTCCCACGCACATATCTCATTAACACAATAAATTATTACCAGTTAATGGTAATGTGTGTAAAATTAATACTTTAGAGTTTACATCTGACATAAGCTGGTTTGCATCTGGAAGCGATATGTAAGAGTTATTTGATATAAAAGACAAGAATTCATAGAGCTATTTTCACTAACGCGTCGCTTGCGAGACAAACAAAGAAATTAGGTCAAAAGTACATCTGGGAATTCTTAAATAACAGACTGAAATAGAAACGGATAGTTCTAAACGGATAGTCTAAAATTAACGATGGCCTCGTAATTATTAGTTTTATCCCTCTACCGTTTAGTGAAAGCGAAACTGGTCGCCATTTTTAGTAAGCGCATGAGCCGTGAGATGCCACGAAAATGACAAACCCGGAAGCGTTGAACCGAACGGCCTACCGGGAAGGGTCGCTACGCCTCTCATGGGCCCATTAAAATTTTTTGCATAGGGGCCCAAAAATCTGGTTTCTCTTCACATCGAGTAAATCTTTCGCCTTTTACTAAAGATTACTCATTTTCTCATCCAACAATGTCACAGCCTAGCTCGACGACATATGCAAATATAGTCTATGCCAGCAAAGGGGTTGCGCCCTTGGATGTTCCCCCTTGGTCGAGAGACTTGGGGAGGAGCCACCCGGACTACGGTCCGGGGGGTTTAATGAAATCCAGGGCCCAACCCTTTTCAGCCACAACCGCCATATTGGATCTACCTGAAGAAGACTGCCCGGAACTTTTCCCTGCTGACTCACCCACCATCCAGGTTACAATCAACTCAAAAGGTCAACCCAATCTGAGGGGTCATATCCTTCGCCAACTAATAAGCAATCAACAGATCTGAAAACACAGACATTTTAGAGTATTTTATTCTCCGCTTCACGTTCAACTCCAGTTAAGCATTATGTTTATAAACCAGTGACGTAGCTACCGTAAAGCTAGCGTAAGCAAGGCAAGGCATAGGGGCCCTTTTTGGAAAGTGTTTGAGGGGGGGGGGGGGTGCAAATCGAAAGTTTTTCGCTGGGAAGGGTCGCTACGCCTCTCATGGGCCCACTAAAACTTTTTGCATAGGGGCCCAAAAATCCTAGCTACGCCACTGTTATAAACACAACCAAAACACACAAAAACACTAGGCCTATAATTTATTTATTAGATCTAGAGATCTAGATCTAGATTAGTATTTCTTTATGAACTTTTGTTTTAATTTTTGTTAGGCCTAATATTTTTTTGTCAAAACTTGAGTAAAATCCCAATTTGGAATATTGAATTTGAATGTGCTCTGTCTAGATTTGATTTAGCTTTTTTTTTTTTTCTGTTGAAAATAGGTTCGTGTCATTTAAGGAGAAACTCATAAATGCAAGTAGAGAATCTAGATCTAGGTTAAGTTTGTATTGTTAAAAATATCTTGCACTCATGATACTAGATCTATAAATAAACATCAAAGTGACTACTCGGAAGAAGGTTTTTCTCCCCAACGTCTCAACTTAGTCGGCAAAATATAGCTCTGCGCATGCGCAGTGACCTAGGGTTAGGGTGAGGGATAGGGTTAGGTTTGTAAACACACGCATGCGCAGTTGAGTACCATCGAAAAAATCACCCTGATGGCAAGTCGTAGTTTCTCTCCATTGCGCATACGTATCTTTTTCCGGCTAGCATCGGCCAATAAACATATATGAACTCACAACGACGTATGCTGATATTACTGATAATTTTATTAAGGCTGCGGCTATTCGTACTTCACTACAAATAGCCCTATGAAGGCTATTCGTACTCTGACCAATCAACGTGAGGCATTGTTTCTGTGATTTTTCATGTTGTGTAGATCGAGAACTAATTATTTTTCAGAACTGACCTTATCACTAACCTTAAACCTAACCCTAATACCTAACCCTATGCCTAACCCTAGCCCTATGCCTAACCCTAAGGCTTAACCATAATCCTTAAGTTAAATTTTTAAAAAAAAGAAAAATAGAAGAAAAAAAAACTAGAACCCACACCTCGAAAACAAACTAGCTAATGCACAACCACTTCGACCACCGGAAAAGTTACAACCAGCTTCAAAATTGGAATGTCATACACAAGTTAATAAAAATAATAAATTTGATTGGTCGGCTAAAAATAGCTAAGTACGAATAGCCTTCTGAGGGCTATTTGTAGTAAACTACCAATAGACACTCTCTTTATTAATTAGAGTCACAACCAATGAAAGAAATATTCATTAGTTACCTCCATCGCACATTACTAGATCTAGCTTCGTTGGAATTTATGACGCTAAACTAAGGTTTTACTGAACCCTTCACCATGTAGGGATTTTTCTCCCGCCAAAGATCACATGTTATTTATTTTAATTGGACCCGTATGCCCTAATGCTTAAGTAAAATGTTTTTTTACCTTTTCCAATTAAAAAACACACATATATTAAATAATAAGTAGATCCATATCTAATCTCCTACTTAATCCTAGTGTTTTCCTAACGTTTTTGTATGTTTTGACATAATAAAATACGCTCAACCAGAGGTGCACGTGAAGCGGCGAATACAATATGCTAAAATGGAGTTTTACTGTAACTCGGACTGGACTTTCTTCCTTACTTTGAATACTTCCTCAGTTTCTTACTTTTCTTTGACTTTTAGGGCCTAGATCTAATATTTAAAAATTAGCCTAATATTATAAGGCCTTATTATTATCTAGTTGTGACTTAGCTATTAAGCCCTAAACTATTACTAAGCCTATCTCTACCCTTAATCAATACTAAATACCTATATCTAGAATCTCTAGTCACAATTACTAAAATACTAGTTTACTAGTGAAGGCAGTTTCGCTGTTTACTAGATCTAGTTTAGCTTTTTGGCATAGAAATCTAGATTTTCTAGCCGCTAGATCTAGCCACTCCTTCAAAACAAAGAGGTTTAGATGCTGATGCGTACAATTTATTATAATCACATATTTTGGGTCGTCAAAGTATTTTTTGTAGGGGAGGATAACGCTGCATTTTGACAATGAAATTTGGATCTAGAATCTAGAGGTAGATCTATAAATCTTTGATTTAAAACCTGGGTCTGTATAGTTTGTGACTCTGCATTGGCTATGCTGACCCTGGTCAGTCATTAGCATTTTGAAGGAAAATAAACATTGACAAGTAGGCCCACAGACTTAGGTTTATACAAAATTAATTCAGATGACATGCTCCCCACTCAGCCATGCTGCCACATGTCCTTTGGTTTGTTTTTAGGGGCCTAGTTATAAGAAAATTAGATGACGTGAGGAATTATTGCCAGTTATGCCTATAGAGTGAAATATTAAATTTAATGCTGCCTATATACTGGTTAAAAATGCTGCAAATCCACTCAAAAAAATCACAACAAACAATGCATTAAATTTAAATGTATACGGTTCAATACAGGTTCTGTGTAACTAAGCCATGCCAGGTCCGTATAATGAACCTTTGCTATACAGACCCAGGTCTGAATAGCAACCTTGAATATTATATTTTACTAAATCTGCAGTTATTTAAGTATCATTAACCCTACACTTTAGTATTCTCCTAATTACTAATTGTAATAACTATTGTAACTTAACAGCATCAACAAGTAAAAGTAACCGTGAATACCCCTTACACAGTTCAATAAAATGTACTCAAATTATCTAAAAATACTCTAATAGTAGGCTAAATAGGTCTATATAGGCTGAATTTTGATTAGGCTTGTTACTTGCGCAATACTGATTTATGTTTTTTGAATAAAGCTATAACTCAGAACTCTTTGGTCTTAGCATGATTAATTTATAACTGATAATAATTTATTATTGTGGATTAGGTTAGGAATAATTCCAATTTTATTGGATTTACAACTTTCTGTGTTCATTTAAAATGATTACAGAATAATTCGATTATTTATTTATTCTAGCACTTGACTGAACCAAGGTAGCCTAGGCTATAATATTCAAGATGTTTTAAAACAAAGTTCTTTGAATTAAATTTTGTCTTTTTATTTCCAGACTTATCAAAATGACTTCCATTCATAGTAACTACAATACAGAGCCTGAATCTTCTCTGTCTCATACACCAAAGTCTACACAAGAAAAGAAAAGAAAAAGTATGTCATTGTCAAATGGAAGGAGTGCCAAACTGAATTCACCAGCGCCCGCCCCACAAAAGTCTTCAGACCCAGCTCCCCACCAAATTGCTGAATCTGTTTCTTATGAAGATTATCTTCAGCAGCTAGCATCAGGGGATAAACCAGTGAACAAATCATCACAAAAATCCAGCTCACACCATAAGCTGGAACAAGCTAGCCTAAAACAGTTTCCCACAGCTGTAAGCCACAGCTCAACATCTACAGGAAGTATCACCAATCACATCAGTAACTCTAGTGTGGAGAAAGCCAAGAAAATAAATCATTCAGTTGAGGATAATGCTGACAAATCACAGATGTCCTATAAGGAGTTTCTCAACCTTTTCAAACCCCCTGGTAAACAGAATGTAACAGAAGTAACCTCTGACCCTGATGAAGCAGCCCCTGATACCCATGCTGCACCTGTCAAGTGCAAGTCTATAACATCATATTTCACCAAGACTGTCAACAGCCCAGTCCAGCCTAGCCATCACAAAGCTTCTGCAACAATGCTGGTGACTGCAGAGGTACACTCTGGTAAAAGGAATGCTTGTAAAAGATCTCACTCCCCTGACAAGCCCTCACCTGCAGCACACAAGTCAGAAGAGAATGCTGATGATATTATCCTTCTTAGTACTGAGACAATAGAAGATGCTGAACCTAAGGGAAGTAACATTCTGAATTTCTTTTCTAAGAAAAGAAAAATTGAGGAAGTTCCAAAAACCGAATCCAAATCTCAGAAATTTAAAAATAAAGAAGATACTGCAAAATGTGTCAATCCAAAGATTGAATCTATCAGTAAATCTGTAGACCCTGGCTCAGTTTTTAATTCTAAAGCATTGACCTCAGAGGATTTATCTAATGCAATCACTGAGGGCTCTGCTGGATCTCACTCTAAACACTCGCAGTCAACACTTTGTTTTGGCAAAAAGGGATTGTCTTTGTCTAAATCAGAACACAAGAAGGATATAAGTCTACAACTTCCTCCCCAAAATGATGGTTTTAGCAAGAAAAGTGGAGATATCAAGAAATCTGATGGGCAGGCCCAGACAACTGAAGGAAAAATCAAGAAATCTGATGGGCAGGCCCAGACATCTGAAGGACAAACCAAGAAATCTGATGGGCAGGCCCAGACAACTGAAGGAAAAACCAAGAAATCTGATGGGCAGGCCCAGACATCTGAAGGACAAACCAAGAAATCTGATGGGCAGGCCCAGACAACTGAAGGAAAAACCAAGAAATCTGATGATCACTGCAAGAAGTTGGGTGAAGCCAGTACTTTGTGTCACCAACCTAATAGCAGTAGAGAGGTCCTAGGCCAGTCAAGCTCTTCTAAAAACACATCTTCTAATAGAAGGGAAAGTAAGAGAAACTTAAGGTATATATTCAAGTGTTTCTTAGTAATAATTCAATAGCTGCTCAACATTGTTTTAAGTTTAATTCTGATTTCTCATGGTTTAAGTTTACATAATATATTTCCTTCTATTTGGATTGTTAATAACTTAATTAGTGGTTGATCATTTAACATAAGAACAGTGTGATGCAGATCTATTTTAGATTTGTGGTTTATTGAAGTCCAACATAAGCATTTGTTCATACTGTCATCTTTTAATTAGTGCACTACTATGTTTTCCAGGGTCAAAGGTCACTCAGACGATTTAAGTTCGTCATTGTCTACTGACACACCAGCTGTGGTCAGCACACCTGAGAGCACAGCTGACCTAGTCAACACACCTGAATATCCCACACTAAGACGCAGCTCTAGAATATCTCGCTCCGTCAAGTTTGTGGAGGTGGAAGATGACGTCATGGAAGTTGACAGTGACAGCAGCGAAGACACTGATTTGTCTAAAAGCAGCAAGAGAAAGCCCACCAAAAAGACTACTGGTAATAAAACAAATTGAATTTATTTCTACTTGGAGCTTAAAAATATTGTAGCACGAGCAGCCTACTTAACTTATCTACGGTGCACAAAAAATGAAATATTTATAGATAAGTATTCCTTAATAAAAGTACTCAAAAGTATTTATTATTAACACTAATACACAAATAAATTAATTAAATAAATCATCTAGGCAGACCCATCAACTTAATACAGTGCTTGTATTTGGGCTTTTAATAATTCTTGGAATTTTCTTACTGTTGTTTATTTTTTTATTTTACTATTATTACTCATCTGTTGATTTTGTTTTCATGTCTAAAAATGCTTTCAGGTAAATTAGCACCAATTTTTACACTTGTAAAAACAAAAGAAGATCAAAAGCCAGCTGTTCCCAAAGAGGATCCTGAAACCTTGAGGAGACGGAGAGAATTTTTAATGAGTGGCATACCAGAGGAGTTGAAGCGTCAAATCACAATATCCACTAGTCAAACCATTTCACTGGATTATCCCCCCTGGCCTGAAGTTAGCCATGTCCAGCAGTTGCCGAGCACATCCTGCCATGTTCCAGCCAATTTAAATCTTAAAGAGAGATTAGTAGGCAGTTCACTGGACACGGTCAAGTGGAACTCTTCTAGTTGGAGTTGCTTTAGGGTGAAAGATTTTTCTGGCAACTTGGTTTCTCAGGTGAGAGGTGCTTCTAAGTTGTTTGGTTTTTCAATGTTAATAATGTTATCTAGAAAATTTTGTACTTTGAAGTAGAGTATTTAATAACTTATTTTTGTATGTGTAAAGCTATACCAATTTTTTGTTTAAATTAGACAGAGCTAACATGTACTGTTGTCACTGTATTCTTACCATTTTGACATGTAAGTTCATTAGTGGTTTGATTGATTTGATTGTATTCTCAATTTGCCTTCCTTAAATTTGAAATTTTAAAAATTCTTTTATAAAACACTTTAAACTTAAATTCAGTTTCTTTCTGGTAACTTTCACTCCCATTTCTTGTTGAGTAGTAACCTTGGCTTGATCGTTCATTGATATTGGGATTGCTAGTATTCAGCATGTTTTGTTTTAATTAAGTCAGCTGATGACAGCTGATCTGTAGATTTAACTAATTATTAACTGTTGATAATAGCAGGCATCCATCTATCCATGTCTGCTGTACAGCCCCAGCATGACTTGTGCCTGCTTCACCAAAGCTTGAATTAATTTTGTTGTCTGCAGTCTCTAGGCTATCCCTCTAATCTTTGATTATTTTCCCCCAGAACTTATCCTTGTTGCCAGCCCTACAAGACATGCAGGTGAATCAAGTACTTCAACATTTCCAGTTATCAGATCCTAAGTTTCCATTTTCTCAAGTCTACAGCAACTTGCAGGCTAGGCTACTAAGCTGCAATCTCATATCTGGTAATATCACTCGGCTGTGTTTTTTATCTATGTAAAATATGGGGGCAGGACATTATGCCAGCCTTACTAATAAGTTAAACTACTAATTGATTGTAAATGAATGAGGAAAAGGGCTTCTTTATATGATTATCTGAAGCAGATATGTAACTTTTCCATATTAAGGAACTGTTTATTCCTAAAAGAATGACAGAAAAGTTTTACGCCGACCTAGACTCTTATTTCGATTCATGGTTGCGCTGACAGTGAGGCTTACAATGCAAGAGCGTACAAGCACATTCTACAAGCTCTTTTATTTAAATATCTAATTTTAACAAGGTTATTTTTAGTTTTTTACTAAATATTTGAAGGAAAAAACCCACTGTTATGTTCGGGTTAGACAAACAACAACGCTTCGTGACTTTGTTCGCTACTTTTATTCCGTCTCAAATACATTCAAGCGTAGCCCTCGTCTTAATCACTAGCAACTAACCCACTGACTCACCCCCTACAACCGTTCACTCGCCTTTTTTTTGGGATTACAACACACTGGGTCACTACACAGTAGGGTGAACTCAACTCTCACCCACCCCACCCACCCCCACCCCACCCCAAGTACGAGACTATCCTAACCTATTCCAATCTGACCCGTAATACCCACTCAGTCTACGTTTTAACTTTTAATACAAAACACTTATGTAGGCTTATTATGATGTGGTTACATGTGATCAAATAGGGCCTAGATCTAATTGTCTTAAACTTATATTAAAAGGCGTTGAATACACCTCTGGTATAAGGATAGAATTAGGGTTAGCATTAGGGATACCTTAGGGTAAGGTTACAGATAGTTTTTAGGTTAGGTTTAGGGCCTAGATCTAATGGTCTTAAACTTATGTAAGAAAGCGTTGAATACACCTCTGGTATAAGGATAGAATTAGGGTTAGCATTAGGGATACCTTAGGGTAAGGTTACAGATAGTTGTTAGGTTAGAGATTGGATTTTAATTAGGGATTGTTATATATAGGTTAGCAATTGTTCTGGATATAATCAGCTGGTTTCCATATTTTGTATTAAATGGAGTCCCTAAAGTATACTATTCAATTTATTTTGTATTCAGGCAACCCATTTTGTAGAATACCTAGGCATGTCTAGTTTCTAAACTAATCAAGAAGGGGAGTAATTGATGGGGATCTCTCCTAGATCCAGAAATATGTAGGATTTTTCTCTTTGACTCTGCAATTTATAAAAATTTAGACCCAATGATTTTGTATTCTCTTATCAACATGAAGAGTCAACTGAGTTGGCTGATCCTGATGTGGTAATTGTTGACGACAGCCCGTCCCCTGCTTCAACACCTGGTACAAAAACATGGTCTGACCCTAAAGGTGATTTGGTCATTTAGTCTAATGTCTTGTTTTTTTGCACTAAGGTTTGATTTAATGTTTTAATTGGGGTAGTTTGTAGGTAAAAAATTAAGTTATTGCCATGTTATTGTATTTTCTTGTATGTGGCCATTAGACTGGATTTGACTTGCTGACTTCCCCAGACTGTTTGTGGACTGAGCTGCATCAACCAGAGAGCTCAGAGCAAATCATTGGCAATGTTGCAGCTGTCAAACAGCTCAAGCACTGGCTGCTAGAGTGGAAGAATCTCATGCAAAGGGAAGCAAGGAAGGAGAACTCAACCAAGATGAAGTCTAAAACTAAAGGAAGTGAGTGACTTTTTGCTCTTTTTTTATCTCTGACAATAGATGTCTTTTATCTGTGACAATAGATGTCTTTTATCTCTGACAATAGATGTCTTTTATCTGTGACAATAGATGTCTTTTATCTGTGACAATAGATGTCTTTTATCTCTGACAACAGATGTCTTTATCTCTGACAACAGATGTCTTTATCTCTGACAACAGATGTCTTTATCTCTGACAACAGATGTCTTTATCTCTGACAACAGATGTCTTTATCTCTGACAATAGATGTCTTTTATCTCTGACAATAGATGTCTTTTATCTCAGACAATAGATGTCTTTTATCTGTGACAATAGATGTCTTTTATCTCTGACAATAGATGTCTTTTATCTGTGACAATAGATGTCTTTTTATCTCTGACAATAAATGTCTTTTATCTCTGACAATAGATGTCTTTTATCTGTGACAATAGATGTCTTTTATCTCTGACAATAGATGTCTTTTATCTGTGACAATAGATGTCTTTTATCTCTGACAATAGATGTCTTTTATCTCTGACAATAGATGTCTTTTATCTCTGACAATAGATGTCTTTTATCTGTGACAATAGATGTCTTTTATCTCTGACAATAGATGTCTTTTATCTGTGACAATAGATGTCGGTTAGAAATAGTCAATTGACCTGTGACTCTGGCCCCTCATATAGCTATTTTTGGGACAAAAGCACCTTATGTAACCACTTTTGGAATTGTAGTTCTGTTGGCACCACTCATGGGACTGTAGCACTTTTCAGCAGTAGCAGTGTTACAATTTATTTTAAATGAGACAGTGATTTCTGCTACAATTTATTTTAAATTACTCACCAGCAAGCACTTGGTCAGACAGTGATTTCTGCTACAATTTATTTTAAATTACTCACCAGCAAGCACTTGGTCAGACAGTGATTTCTGCTACAATGTATTTTAAATTACTCACCAGCAAGCACTTGGTCAGACAGTGATTTCTGCTACAATTTATTTTAAATTACTCACCAGCAAGCACCTGGTCAGACGGTGATTTCTGCTACAATTTATTTTAAATTACTCACCAGCAAGCACCTGGTCAAACTGTGATTTCTGCTACAATTTATTTTAAATTACTCACCAGCAAGCACCTGGTCAGACGGTGATTTCTGCTACAATTTATTTTAAATTACTCACCAGCAAGCACTTGGTCAGACAGTGATTTCTGCTACAATTTATTTTAAATTACTCACCAGCAAGCACTTGGTCAGACAGTGATTTCTGCTACAATTTATTTTAAATTACTCACCAGCAAGCACCTGGTCAGACAGTGATTTCTGCTACAATTTATTTTAAATTACTCACCAGCAAGCACTTGGTCAGACAGTGATTTCTGCTACAATTTATTTTAAATTACTCACCAGCAAGCACTTGGTCAGACAGTGATTTCTGCTACAATTTATTTTAAATTACTCACCAGCAAGCACTTGGTCAGACAGTGATTTCTGCTACAATTTATTTTAAATTACTCACCAGCAAGCACTTGGTCAGACAGTGATTTCTGCTACAATTTATTTTCAATTACTCACCAGCAAGCACTTGGTCAGACAGTGATTTCTGCTACAATTTATTTTAAATTACTCACCAGCAAGCACTTGGTCAGACAGTGATTTCACAGACAGCGAGGACGAGGACTCAGCTCTCTGCAATACTTTTCTCATCACTGGACCACATGGCTGTGGGAAAACATCTTCAGTCTACGCTTTAGCTCAGGAGCTAGACTTTAAGGTCTGTTTAAACACTTTAGCTCAGGGGCTAGATTAAGGTCTGTTAAAATGCTTTAGCTTAGGAGCTAGACTATAAGGTCTGTTTGATGATGATTTTTTAACAAAAAGTAACAAAAGATCTTATTTTTGAGGTTTTGTTTTAAAGATATTTATCACCAACTTATGTCGCCCCTGATGCAGGTGTTTGAGGTGAACTCATCATCCCTGCGTAGTGGCAAACAGCTCCTGTCACAGCTAGAGGAGGCCACGCAGTCACACAGAGTAGCTCAGAATAAAGTTGCCACACCTGCGCCACAAGACAATCTACCTACAGGTGGGAACTTTCACCCACGCCTTTTTAAATATATAGTTTTGTTCTAAATAGATGTGAGAAATAATGTAAGAAAACTGAAAAAATAAATTTTTAAATCATCTGAAGCATTTTTCTTCAGTTAAAATCTATTTCTAAAAAAATTGCTTTAATTAACCAGTATTTTACTCCTAAATGAATCCTTTTAAGGTAATTTTTTATTGTATGATTTTAGAATCCTCAAAAAACATGTCAAAGAAATCTGAGAAAACAAAATCCAAATCAGCAGCATCTAAAGCATCTGGCTTTGCAAATCTGTTCAGTTCTCACTCTAAGGTAGCAAAACCTAGTGAGAGTAAAGCACCGAATGAAGGTAGCGCAAACAAAAAATCTAAAGATGGCAAAGTAACTAAACATGAAAATAAACTGTTTGAAAACAACAGAAAGAAAGATTCAAGTAAGAGAAAATATTGTATTCACACAATTATTTTCTATATTTTAAGTTATCATTCTTTGATAGTTCATTTGTTTTGGTTTAGCATCATTTTATACATTTTTGTCATGAATGACCAGTATCTTGTCTAATACGTTTTCTTAAATTAGTTAATTATATTTTTGTTTCATTTTTTTACCCAATTTTTTTTTAAAGAAAGCAAGTCCAAGGCTGAGAAGAATGAGAGCTGTGTTGATGTGAAACTTGTTGCTGGTGGCAGTACATCAGGGTCACTCAATCTTGCTTCAGCTTCTCTTATTCTATTTGATGAGGTGTGTTCCAGGTTACATGTGAAATGACAAAATTTTATACCTGTCTGTTTACCTTTGTTGAAGGATAGTCACCTCAAAGGTTGATATTCTAAATGTATGAACATGAAAGGCATTACAGCTAAAAAAAAATAAGCACATCAGTGGTTATAAGTGGCATATATTAAGGGATCAGATTTACATAATCTAAAAATATCTTTTAAATATTTAGACAGGAACACTTAATATATTTTCTGATCTCACGTACTAAATTTCTGCAAAATACCTGATAAATACTGGAATATGAATTTAACGGCAATAGCTTTTCCTGCTCATAGTACCAAGAAAATATTTTAAACTTGATAATAAGTAAAATGTTAATGATTATATAATTTAACTTAATATAAGTTTCAATTTAACTATATTTAATAAACATTTTTTAACAATTAGTAGAAAATGCTTATAAATGTTTGATCATGCAAAAAAGAGAAATGTTCTATCACTAAATATGTGTACATGTAGGAAATTTCTCTGAATCGTGTTTAGAGGTTCTCACCCAAAGCCTTGAAATGAACATGTTGTTGTCTTCAGGTGGATGTGGTGTTTGAAGAAGACAAAGGCTTCCTGTCAACAGTACAACACTTCATGACATCCACCAAGATCCCCATCATCCTCACCTCCACCAACTCTGGCTTCAGTCAACAGCTGGCAGCCAGACATGAGCACATCAGTTACAGGCAGCCACCTCTGGTATGGAATCTGTGGGGTCCTTGTAAGGGTCAGTGGTCATCTGCTGGGCCACCAACTTGTCTGGTTTTTCTCTTTTATCTCATGATTCTGTGTGTCTTCTTGTAAGGGTCAGTGGTCAGCTGCTGGGCTACTAACTTGTCTGGTTTCCTCTGTAATGTCATGATTGTGTGTGTGTCTTCTTGTAAGGGTCAGTGGTCAGCTGCTTGGCTACTAACTTGTCTGGTTTCCTCTGTAATGTCATGATTCTGTGTGTGTCTTCTTGTAAGGGTCAGTGGTCAGCTGCTGGGCTACTAACTAATCTGGTTTCCTCTGTAATGTCATGATTCTGTGTGTGTCTTCTTGTAAGGGTCAGTGGTCAGCTGCTGGGCTACTAACTTGTCTGGTTTCCTCTGTAATGTCATGATTCTGTGTGTGTCTTCTTGTAAGGGTCAGTGGTCAGCTGCTGGGCTACTAACTTGTCTGGTTTCCTCTGTAATGTCATGATTCTGTGTGTGTCTTCTTGTAAGGGTCAGTGGTCAGCTGCTGGGCTACTAACTTGTCTGGTTTCCTCTGTAATGTCATGATTCTGTGTGTGTCTTCTTGTAAGGGTCAGTGGTCAGCTGCTGGGCTACTAACTTGTCTGGTTTCCTCTGTAATGTCATGATTCTGTGTGTGTCTTCTTGTAAGGGTCAGTGGTCAGCTGCTGGGCTACTAACTTGTCTGGTTTCCTCTGTAATGTCATGATTGTGTGTGTGTCTTCTTGTAAGGGCCAGTGGTCAGCTGCTGGGCTACTAACTTGTCTGGTTTTTCTCTGTAATGTCCTGATTCTTACACCCAAGTTATGGTTTTTCCTTGTGTTGGAAGAGTTGCGTTCAAAATAAATTTTCAAAAAGAATTCAAAACATAAATTTTCAATGGCAAATACCTTCACTTTAAAACTTAAAAATCAAACAACTTCAATTAGAAGTTTCTTTGTCCTAACTAATGTTTTCAGTTGTTAAATTATGTTATATGTTTTTGTAGTCTCACATCTAACCCAACATGATACTACGCAACATGTCAGTCAAGGATTGCTAGTCTGTTGTATGAACTCACTCTGACCAGTGAATATTTCGTGCCTGTTAAAGATTAGTTATTGAAAGATTGCTCATATGCACAGTTGGTATAAGTAGACTGCAAAATATCTTTACCTTTGTCGTTACTACAGAATTTTCTATCAAATCTCTAACAGAAAACTTTTAAAATTATTTTGTTGCCTTTGCCCTGATAAGTTTTGCAACAAAGTAATTAAAACCTTGTATGTGCAGGTGTCAGCCACAAGCTTCCTGTGTACTGTGTGTCTAGCCCACGGTGTACGAGTGAGTCGCAGGTCAGTCTCCAACATGTTGCAGCACATGAAAGGTGATGTCAGGCGCTGCTTGCTCTACTTGCAGTACTGGTGTGGCTCTGGTGGGGGCCGAGTCAAAGCACAAAAATGTCTGAGCCCACCCCACCCCAGAGTGGTGCAGGAGACGTCACAGTGTGACACAACTGACACGCCAGATGACAGGGACTCTGACACTGACTTTGTTTGTCTGAGGCCAGGCAGAAGGGCTGGCAGGATGATCTGTGATGACGAGGACAGTGGAAAGTCAAACTCTTCTTGTTCTTCAAGTTCCAGTGGCACAAGTGCCAAAAATGGTGTCATTATTGATGGTGAGAGTGGGGTTCAAGTTCCAGAACTTCATAAAGAGCTGGAAGAAACTATGCTAGGGTTAGCCCCTGGTTGTAAAGTTTCCATTCATTCTGTGATCAAACATCTGAAGGTATGGTTTAATTTCAATTATTTTCTTGTAATTTTTAAGTTTTTTTTTAAAGTTAGTGTGTGTTAAAAGTGTCATCATATTGCAACCGAACAAATGTTTGCTGACATATTCTTGCCCATAGTTGTATTTTTTTACCCCTTTGTTTTAAAAAAATTGTTGTCTGTATAAAGTCATTGATGTCAACTATTTTCAGTCGTCCACTCTACAAAGCAGAGACTTGAATGAGCTGCTGTACCTGTGTCATGTACTGAGACAAGCTCTGCAGCTGGATGTCACCTACCTGCTAGCTTTACATTGTCTCCCCTTACCTAAGTCAGCTGTCCCAGTCACCAGTGGCACTTTGGTTACAACACAGTCAGTGGAGTCACATGACTCTGCTCAGCCAAGGAAGAAAATCAGAAAAAGGATCATTCAGGGTGACTGGTTTGATAGTGATGATGAGGACGATCCACCAATTAAATCAAGCATGGGAGATAACCCAGCAACCCTTGATGGCTCTATCAAAACAAACGTGGGGGATAACCCAGCAGCCCTTGACACTCATGTTAAATTCTCATCAGATGCAAACAGTTGCATCTCTAGAGATAATTCTGGTTTTAAAAGTTCTGTTGAAATGGAAGCTACAAATGTTCAGCAAGTAGAAGACTCCACTAAATCAGAATGGAATAAAGTCTGTAACAGTGCAACCATTTCTGTGCTAACTGAGATGGCCAGGTACTATGATACCACCTCATATGTTGACTGTCTAGAAACGTTTACATTGGCAACTTCAGATAGAAGTAAAGGACTGAGTCCAGGGATGGATGATGAGGAACAGACTGGCCCTGATGAGGTGTGTGGTGAGTGGTCCTGGCAGCTAGCTGGTACAGCCAGAATCCTTGGCTGCTGGAGACTGGGCTATAGCTGCAGGGGACACTGGGACAGGTGTGTGAGAGATGGCACAAAGCTAAGTGGCTGCCAGACTAGTGGGTCTACAGAATGTCAAGATTGGAAAACTTCTTTAGAGTTGCCAGTTGGGGAAAAGATACCAGAAATCTGGAAGGCACACACCAGGTAGTAGAGTTTTTCTTTGATTTCATTGGCTGATATTTAGTTGTGCTTTATATCTTATCTGTACAGTTCTACAAAATATTTTATGATAGTTTATTTTAAAAATTACAAAGTAACTTGAATTCTTCTATCTGATTGATTGACTGAATAATTGACTGAATGTTCTAACCACCACAAACTGTTGTAGATCACAAGAGACTGCTGTAAGGAGGATGTGCAAAACATCTGAGCCCATCATGTTAGGATCTAACCCAGCACTTTACACAGATTATCTGCCCACTCTCAGGGCCATCTGTCATGCTGAAGATCTTAAGGACAAGAGACGGTAAGTAGATGGCCAGATAAGTTATTTGAACTACTGACCAAAGGTTTCTGATCTAGCCTTAAGAGCTGGTCAAATATAGAAACTACTTGGCCAACTTAATTTAAGTACTGCACTTCTTTTAAACAACACATTGGAGTCTGGATTTAAAAGTTCTGAAGTGCCTGTTGTCTGATTCATCTGTTATATTCACCCACACTATGTATAAGAAAAACAAGTAATATTTTATCCTCAGTCTTTAGTAATTATTTGGTTTGTTCTGAGCAGCAGAAGAACCTGCAGGAAGTCCAGTGCTGGTGATTGGAGCAGCAGGTATCACCACTGGAATGTTGACCAGGTTAGCACCTACCTCTGATGTTCTACACCAGACATCCAAGATTTCAAACATTCTATTCATACTATTATTATATTCATATATTTAAGCACATGAATTGTAAAAAAAATTAAAATTTTTAAAACTAATTGCTGGTTACAAACCTTCTGTGTGGCTGACTGTATGGACTCATTTGGACAGTTATCAAATATTCCCCCCTCCCCCAGAAGTCAGGTCATGATAGTGTTAGCAAGCTATGCCAGACTGGGCTACCAGAAAAATTCACAATGCAATAAACCACAAGGGGAAAATGTGCAGACCAATTTCTCTGGGAACCCACATAACATCAGACACCTTGTTATCTGACGTATGTTCAGCAACTAACCAATCATTGTGTAGCTGGGCTTGTCTAAAGTAGTGTTTGAGAGCTTGTCTATGTGATAGAATGCTACCGTTGTTTTCATTCAAATGTGCGTCTGAATGTATTCTCATCATGTGGTGTTGCTCTTTTTTGGGTTCTGCTGATATTTGACTTCGTCACAGCTCAATAAAAACTCCTATCTGTTTTTTGACCACCAACACAAATAATTTATAATTTTTAGAAAATTATCATATAGGCTACACTGATCAAATTTGTGAACATAAAAACTAAAACACAAACTTCACTTAGTACTTTAATGCCATGTTATTATGTAACAAGGTTAATCTTATCGTTAAGTGCCATAGCTGAGATAATCTGTCAGCTGATTCATCTGACAGGTTGATAGCACTTTATCTACTCGTGGGTTTACAGGTTGACGTACACAGGGCCACACTCTTGAAGTTGTTGTCGTTACCCCCACACCCCCCGTACTGAAACATCTCACAGCGGTCTGTTATTTCACTGTAGTAGTATCTGCGCTCGTACTTTCTACAGCTCCCTACAATTGGTGGTAGGCTGCAGAAATCTGGACGGGAAGCTGCTGTAATAGATAGATATATATATGTATGTATTTTAGAATGTGAACTTTTGTAACATTCACAATTAAATAAAGACGTCTGTGACTGTACTAATCTGTTGTGTGGGCCCCTAGATGAACACTCGGGGGGGGGGGGCTATTGTGTGAACAGCAGGAGAGCCATTGTACAAGCTATCCAGTTACAAGCCATTGTACAAGCTATCCAGTTACTGACAAGCCATTGTACAAGCTATCCAGTTACTGACAAGCCATTGTACAAGCTATCCAGTTACTGGCAAGCCATTGTACAAGCTATCCAGTTACTGGCAAGCCATTGTACAAGCTATCCAGTTACAAGCCATTGTACAAGCTATCCAGTTACTGACAAGCCATTGTACAAGCTATCCAGTTACTGACAAGCCATTGTACAAGCTATCCAGTTACTGGCAAGCCATTGTACAAGCTATCCAGTTACTGGCAAGCCATTGTACAAGCTATCCAGTTACTGGCAAGCCATTGTAGAGCTACCTAGTTACTGGCAAGCCATTGTAGAGCTACCTAGTTACTTGATTTATTTCTCGCAAGCCATTATAGAGCTACCTCAGTTACTTAATTGATTTATGGCCATCAAAGTATTGGAATGCCTTAGTACAGATAACAAACCAGCTGAATCTCATAACAAATATGCCTGTCCAGTGTTTTTTCAGGCCCTTTCCATAAGTTGTATATGACCCGAGTCCAGAGAAAAGGTTTGAAAGAAACCCTTCTCCAGTTGAGGTGAAATGTAAAAATAAAATGTCTTCTGTTGGATTTAGCTTAAAATATATCTGTTTGCAATGCTGAGGTTTCCTTGGTAAGAGAAAAATAAAGCATGAAGAATTCATTTTAGTTTCTTCCATACCTAGTAGATACAACATATCTACAGCAAATCTATTACCAGCTTATCTGGACAGTAGGCCATCTAAACCCTGTATATAATTTATTATTAACTTGCAACACATGGCTATAAGGGATATTAATTTAAAAAAAGATATTTTGAAATAACACATGAAAAAGTATTGAGTTAGTTCTATGTGCACTAGATGAAATAAAACGTGTTACCAGATCAAACCCAACTAGTTATTCCAGTACAGTTGATAGAATAGAAAACATTGTGTCAGCTGTAAATATTACTTCTGCTTATCATATCAGTTTGAAACATGTAAGTAAGCTCATCAAAGTTCAGAAAAAATTGACCCACCCAAGAACACCATTATAAAGTATAAACCTAAATGTCCATATATATATATATATATATATATATATATATATATATATATATATATATATATATATATATATATATAAATAGATGGACAGATAGGTATGTAGATAGATTACACAGACCGACAAATATACTTACGAGCTGCATACTCGAAATTCGCTACTGTGTCAACATTTAAAATGTATTTTTTAAAATAAAAATGATAGCACGAAACAGAAAAGAGATGGTTTTTGTTTTTATTATTGTAAAAATGTTGAAATTTAGTAAGGGGGGTGAATTAGAGAAGAGAAAATTATAAACATCACCACAACTCGCACGACACAATGAAACAGACCAAACTGCACACCACCCGCTCTTACCCTGTAACCTCAACCCACCTGGAAACCAAGACGACACACCACAACTTACACCTCACACCATAAGCCAGGTCATAATAAACCACACCCAAATAACACATCAAACACCTGCACACCATAACCCTCGTCACATAAACCAGCCAAAATCTCACCCTAACAAGCACACACAAATAACACATCACACACATGCACACCATAAGCCACGCACCGCACCCTACCCAACCCACATACAACGCCAAAGTAAATCAAACCACACACCACAACAACCGATGTTCAACCCGCAATCAACCCGACGCCCATTAACTTAACGAACCACACCGGATCACTCCATACCATACACACCACTCCCCACACAGGCACCCCACTTTAAACACACCATTGACACCATATAACAACTCACACGACACCACGAACAACACCCTAACCACACTCCACGCCACCCTGCTCCAACACAAACACCACCACCCACACCCCACACCCCGCAACATATGCACTCATTTAGACCCACATACCAATACAACCCAAACTAACTCCACAATCTACACACACATATATATATATATATATATATATATATATATATATATATATATATATATATATATATATATATCACATAATGTATTTATTTACTTCTAATATTATTAAAACTCCTGCATTAACTTTACGATCTGGATCAACAAAACATTTTTTACAATAACTAGATGTTGAAATTGTGAATGAACTCACCAACTTGCTGTTTAGAAATGTGAAGGAACACGACCAAGAGAAGAAACAGCCTGGAGAACATGTTAAGACCTGCTGGTTGTGAGCACAGTGTCGCTAGTGTCAGACTCACACAGTACGTTATGCTGCTCACTCATAACGAGCCTGCTAAAATAATTGACGAAATTATCCAAATGCTGTGATTAACTGGCGGAAATTATCGAAAAAAATAGTGTTGTTGAGAGGTGGGTCATTCGTTGTTCATTCATGGTTGTCTAGGGGTTAATTGGTGGTTCAGTCGTGGTTAACTGTTGGTTAAGTTATGGTTCACTCGTGGTTAAATCATAAACATTTGATTCAGCTGCTTAACACCTACAATGAAATTGATTTTGAGAAAGAAAATTATGAAAGTCTACTTTAAAAATCTACCATTGACACACACTTATCAAACTAACTCCATATTATGGGATGCCAACAATGAATGAGTTATGTTTAACCAGGTAATAACATGTTTATTGTTGCAACATTCTAAATGTTCTTAACAAAAGTAAATAATGAAGTTATTTAAGTTTAAGTACAAAAGATAGACTGAAGTGATAGCACAAACTGTCTTGTTGTATACCCCTCTCATATCTTAGCTCTATATTACAAATTAAATGTGGTATCTTCAAAGCTGGTCAACTAATTACTCAGTCAGAGTTTGACCCAACGCAGATGGACGACAAAGTTGATGATTTTTGAGCTCAACATTGATCCCGCAAGAAAGAAAACAAGGGAAGTAGAAACAAGAGGAACAAATGTCTTTATTCCATGAACAGTGTTATTTCATAAACAAGCCAAACATAAGGAGAGATGATCTGTCCACAGCTCTCACACAGGGGCACATCTCACTTGTATAAAATTAAATATTCATTATTTCCAAAACATTTCTTTTAGCTGGGAATGGGCTCAGCACTGGCAGCAGCCATTTCCCGGGCAAACAAGACAGCTACAGCAAAGATGGAGATACTTTTTACAAAGGACCATTTAAAAGGATCAACATATAAACTTTTAATGAAACGAACAGCTGTATTTTTAGACTTTCCTGAGGATCCCATGTTGTCAGAATTTTATTTGGTGATTCGTTTTTTAAAGGGTTGGCATGTAGCGGCGTAGATGTTAAATGCGTAGGGCCTAGATTTATACAGTTGAGTAATTTTGTTTCGTGTAAACATTGATGGAATATTCGCAAACTTATTACTCACAAGGTTATTAGAACTGGGGGGGGGGGGGGGCTTTCTTAATAGTATAACACAAATACTATTTTAAGTTACTTTCGCAATTAATTTTTACAATTTTAGTACAATACAAAAGTTAATTTATAACAAAATATCTATTTAAAAGAATGCTATTGTTTATGATTTTTTTTTTTTTCTTAAAAATAGTATATACAATATTTAAAAATTATTACATTAAAAAGTTAACTCCCCTGTTCATAGATAAAATGACAGTCTTTAATTACTTTTTCACAAACAAGTTTTCCCATAAATACAAAGATTATATAGGGAAATACGACTGGTCAGTTTTTACCCGTTTCCCGATTTTTCCCGGACATGGCGAGTTTTTTGTGACACCCCAAAGCGTTCTCCTACCACCTCACAAAATTTCAAGGGGGGTCGTCGGACGAAAGTTTTTTTTTTCGTAATAGAGCCCATATAAAGAGAATTTCACTCGCGGTCACTTTTTAGCCCTCTTCGAGAGCTTTGAGTGAAACCGACAGGTTTGCCCTACGGCCAAACCCTTTACCTATAAGCATGCCAAAAATTAGCCAGATGTAAAGACGGTAAGTGCCCAAAAAATCCGTTTTGAAATGA